GGGTGGGGAGCCTTGGGATTCCTGCTCCATGTTACAGCTRCTGGGAGCTGCTGGTGCAGAAACTGGACTGGGATGATGGAGATTTGAGTCTGGTGAGCTGCAGGATGAGCCAGGGTGCTGGAGCTCTGTGCCTGGCTCTGTGCTCAGAGCCTTTGCCTGGAGCTTTATGGAGATGGATCAGAGCGGTCACTGAGCTGCCGTCCATCAGCTCGTCCCCTGTGCTCCCATTTCTCCTGGATTAAACATCATCACTCCCAGATGTAAGCTTTGATGCTAGAGAGGGATCCCCAGTGGGGTTTTTCCAGCCTGAGAAAGGCAGGAGTGGCTGAGGAGAGAGTTTGGAGGATTATAGGGAAGGGTGTTTAGTGCGAAGAACTGCGGGTGGGGAGCTTTGGGGTTCCTGCTCCATGTTACAGCTGCTGGGAGCTGCTGGTGCAGAAACTGGACTGGGATGATGGRGGTTTGAGCATGGTGAGCTGCAGGATGAGCCAGGGTGCTGGAGCTCTGTGCCTGGCTCTGTGCTCAGAGCCTTTGCCTGGAGTTTTATGGAGATGCTCAGAGCGGTCACTGAGCTGGCGTCCATCAGCTCGTCCCCTGTGCTCCCATTTCTCCCAGATTAAACATCATCACTCCCAGATGTAAGCTTTGATGCTAGAGAGGGATCCCCAGTGGGCTTTTTCCAGCCTGAAAAAGGCAGAGGTGGCTGAGGAGAGAGTTTGGAGGAGGATTATAGGGAAGGGTGTTTAGTGGGAAGAACTGCGGGTGGGGAGCCTTGGGATTCCTGTTCAATGTTACAGCTGCTGGGAGCTGCTGGTGCAGAAACTGGACTGGGATGATGGAGGTTTGAGCCTGGTGAGCTGCAGGATGAGCCAGGGTGCTGGAGCTCTGTGCCTGGCTCCGTGCTCAGAGCCTTTGCCTGGAGTTTTATGGAGATGGGTCAGAGCGGTCAGTGAGCTGCTGTCTATCAGCTCGACCCCTGTGCTCCCATTTCTCCTGGATTAAAAATCATCACTCCCAGATGTAAGCTTTGATGCTAGAGAGGGTTCTGGTGGAGTTTTTCCAGCCTGAGAAAGGCAGGAGTGGCTGAGGAGAGAGTTTGGAGGAGGATTATAGGGAAGGGTGTTCAGTGGCAGGGACAGGCAGGTGCCTCAGTCCTGCCACAGCAGAGCCTGGGCCAAACATGCCTGTGTCTGTCCCCAGGGGTGTCCCCATCAGGTCCCGGTGTGGTGGTGATGCAGCTGAATGTCCCCAACGGCCCCCAGGCCCCCCAAAACCCCCCCATGGTGCAGTGGAGCCACTGTAAGTACTACAGCCTGGAGCAGCGGGGGCAGAAGCCAGGAGACCTCTACAACCCCGACACCAGTGCTCAGGTACTGGGAGGACTGGGAGGGACGGGCAGGGGGCAGCTTTGGGGTGAAATGGGTGCGGGGTCACCCCACGGGGTCAAAGTGGAGGTGTCTGACACTGTCCCTCCCCCCAGGCCAGCACCCAGCTGAACAGCCCCATCACGTCCCCCACGCAGTCCCCGACACCGTCACCCGTCACCAACCTCAACAGCGTGTGCACGGGGCTGAGCCCCCTCCCCGTCCTCACGCAGTTCCCCCGGCCCATGGGCCCGGCACAGGGTAAGGGGGAAGGGCTGTGGGGACAGTCTGGGGTGGTGGTGTGGGGACAGCCTGGGGCTGTGGGGACAGGGTGTGGGGACAGCCTGGGGCTGTGGGGACAGGGTGTGGGGACAGCCTGGGGCTCTGGGGACAGGGTGTGGGGACAGCCCAGGGCTGTGGGGAAGGGTTATGGGGACATCCTGGGGCTGTGGGGACAGGGTGTGGGGGCTGTGGGGACGGGGTGTGGGGACATCCTGTGGGGACAGCCTGGGGCTGGTGGGGAAGGGCTGTGGGGAAGGACTGTGGGGACAGGGTGTGGGACAGCCTGGGGCTGTGGGAAAGGGCTGTGGGGGCATCCTGGGGCTGTGGGGACATCCTGGGGCTGTGGGGACAGGGTGTGGACACAGCCCAGGGCTGTGGGGATGGGGTGTGGGGGCAGGGTGTGGGGACATCCTGTGGGGACAGCCCCGGCTTGGTGGGGAAGGGCTGTGGGGACAGCCTGGTGCTGTGGGGACAGTCTGTGGGGAAGGGCCATGGGGGCAGTCTGTTGGGACAGCCCGAGGCTGGTGGGGACAGCCTGCAGGGACAGCCCTGTGGGGACATCCTGTGTCCCTGATCCCCACAAACGCTCCTCGTGCAGGCGATGGGCGCTACTCACTCCTGGGCCAGCCCCTGCAGTACAACCTGTCCCTGTGTCCCCCACCACTGCTCCACAACCAGCCCGGCTACACAGGACACCAGGTATGGCTGGGCATCACCTCCCCGGCCCCTCAATGGACACTGTGACAGCCACAGTGTCCCCTGTGTCCCCCGAGGTGACACCTTTGTCTCCTTCAAGGGGCAGACTGGAATGAAACACGGAAACCGGAGCAAGAGACAGGCCCTTAAATCAGCATCCACCGACTTGGGGACAAGTGACGTAGGCAAGTGACMCCCTCGAGCAGTTCCCTTTGCCCTCTGGTGTCCCCACACGGGTTTTTGGGGCTCCAGGGGCCATCCCTGCCCATGCCAGCATCCCACAGAAGCCCATGCTGGTTTTGGAGAGCAGCTTCTCTCCACACCCAAAAAAAACCCCCAGCCCAGGAGAGCCCAGGCTGGGAGTGCAGCACAAAACCTCTGAGGAGAAGGACWCCCGGGTCCTATTCCTGCCTCTCTGAGGGTGGAAGTGATGCAGTGGAGCTGGCAGAATTGGGGTTTTATTCCWCTTTATCAGCAGAAAGTGGCACCGAGACACTAACCCAGACCTGAGATCTCATTCCCGCCGTTGCTTTCCCAAGTCACTCTTCCCACCCATGCGTCCCTTTCCCATGGGAGGCTTCAGAGCTTCATTTTTGGGATTTGGGATCTCCCTGAATGGCTGCGAGGGCTGAGGGTCCCACTGAGTCATTTCTGTCTGAAGGACACCCCATGCCCGGGGTGTCCCCACTGCTCCTCAGGGAAGGAGGGACCCACAACTCGGATGGAACAGCCCTCACTGACCCTCTGGGGAGGCCTCAGGMTTGTCCCCCRTGTCACCTCCGTGTCACCACCAGCAGCTGGTTGCAGGGGCCCTTTAAGAGCTGCCTGTCCCCCTCCTGCCCCTGGCATGGTCCGTACGTGCCACGTTAATATTAGCAAAGAATCCCTTCAGCAGCTCTGCTAAGCCTGGAGCCAGGGCTGGAGCCAGGAGCTGCAGAGGGAT